TTTCCCTCCCTCCCTCCCTTCCTTTTCCTCTGTCTGTCTTTTTCTTTCTTCTTACCCCAATACTTCCAATAAGACTCCAATTCCTGAATTTCTGTATGAATATATATTTTTATTTATGTACAGTGTAACACTCCCACCTATTCTGTTGGGTCTCTTTCTTTTCAATAAATTGCTGTGGGCCAATCATGGTATCAATTCACCAAGTGTCAGTCATACCTATTGCCTCAATTTGTCTTCCTGAGTCATGATTATCCGCTTATTTCCCATTCACTGTGCACTACTGTAAAAGCATCTCAGGTTTTGAGTACCACCTACAGGTAGTCCTTGAGTTAAGACATCAATTGGGACTGGAATTTCCATCACTAAGTGGTGCGATCGTAAAGCACAGGGTTATGGGACCACATCGCTTAGCAACGGCAATCCCTGCAGTCCCTGTGGCCATCGTTAAGCGAGGATCATGGGTCGTTAAGCGAGCACCTTCTCCCAACTTCCTGCCAGCTTCCAACAACCAAAGTCAGTGGGGAAGCCGGCAGGAAGTTGCAAGACCCAGGGGGCTTGCAAGCAGGCCGGCAGGCAGGTAAGTGGCTGCTGCCAGGTGGGAGAGGGAGCGAAGGGGTGCATGGGTGGCAGGGAGGTGCAGTGTGAGCGTGGTAAGGCTTGGGACAGCTGCTGCTGGATGGGGAAGGGTGGGGGAGAGCGTGCGAGTGGCGGGGCAGACGCAGAGCAAGCACAGCGAGGCTTGGGGAAGATGTGCAAGTGGCCAGGGACGGTGTGTGAGTGGCCAGCCCGGGGCAAGCACAAAGGAGCTGGGGGTGGGTATGTGGATGGGGGAGACTTACCTGAGCAACTTACAAACTTCCCTGCTGGCTTCCCCATTGACTCTGCTTGCGGGAAGTCAAGCAGGGAAGGTTGCAAATCGCGAGCCGGTTGCCAAGCACCCAGATCATGATCAGATGAGCGCAGAGGTGCTGGGACAGCTGGAACCTGGAGGACCAGTCATAACCACCACTCGTTCAGTGCCGTTGTTACTTCAAATGGTCACTGAATGAGTGCTCGTTAACCAAGGACTACCTCTATTGGTGCCTCTGTAGCCAAATGTGTGGTCCCCACCCTGGACTCCCATGTCTCCCTTTGTATTCTGTTTCCTTGGCCATAATTCTTGGCTGCACATCTGGTTGTAGGCTTTTGCTACCCTCCCACTTTTGTTGTAGTTTGACACCTCTTGATGAGGCTGGCAAGATATCTGTGCTACGTTTCCCTCCTAGTTTTTGTAAGATCTGGCCCATCTCCTCTGAGCTTTTTGTGAAGGTAGCACAGGCCACTGTCATAGAATGCAAACCTCTCACGTTGACATCATCCACGTAGCTCTAGGATCCTATTTCTTAGTTCTCACATGATGACCCTCAGTTGAAAGGACTGATGAAAATGGCTGGTGTGGGTCTTCCGGGCTGTGTGGCCGTGTTCTGGAAGTTTTGTTTCTTAACG